GAGAGAGAGAGAGAGAGAGAGAGAGAGAGAGACAGAGAGACAGAGAGAGAGAGAGACAGAGAGAGAAATAGAGAGAGGGAGGGAGGGAGGGAACATATGCGAGCATGAGTGAGGCCTGGAGCTGCAAGCCTCACGGGCTTGTTCTGAGGACTTTGCAGCCCGTGGTCCCACCTGCAGCCTGGCTCTGCCACAGATGGATACCTGAGCTTCTCCCTAACATGTTCCCTCTTTTGCTTAATATAGCTTGAAAGTGACTTTGTTAGCAATAATCAAGACTCTTAATTTACACAAGCCCCTTCCAAATACAGTCTAATGTCATACCAAAGCTCCTGGTAGTATAACAGTCTACAAGAGACTGGGGTAGGCACAGCTGTGTTACAGCAGGACAAGCCATGGACAGGAGTTAGGGGCTAGGGCAAAAAGGAGGCCAGCTGAAGGATCCTAGGCAGCGTCATCCTGCAGCCAACAAGCACACTGGCTGGAGGGTTGTCATTTGGAGTGAGTTCAGGAAATTCAAGCTAATTTTAGCCACAGCCTAAGAAAACTGTGATCAGGGTGATGAATTGCTGAATAAAAAAATGCAATGCATGATAAAGCAAAACAGGAGCCCCCAAGTGGTTCCTCTCAATCATCTTCCCACCCACGCTGCTAGCACAGGGCAAATCAGGAGAGCTTCAGTCCACATCCTGTGCAAAGAAAGCATTTCCTTCTTCTGCATAGTGCCCACTGTCCTCCTCAGGCTAGCATCCCCAGCACAGTCCCTGAAGGCTCTTACGTACACTGGTCAGCACACTGACATTGGAAGATACTAACATTCCAATCGTAGGGTCTAGAAAACCAAGATAAGACAAAATAAGGCAATGGCTCCAGAATGGGAGGGTGAAGATGCACAACAGGCATCTGAGGCAAGTCCCTTAACTCCAGATCCCTGCACTTCATACCACGGAGTCTTCCAAATGCCAACGCTTCTACTAAAACCTTTCAACCCTCCTCTTTGAAGTCATAAAAGAACCCACTCCCTCAGCTGAGGTCCTACAGAACTGTCAGAGGTCTTCACAGAGTACTGGCCTCTGCCTCCTTCTACAGGCACCTCTTTTCATATCCATACTGGCCCCTGTGAGACTGCATTCTTGGGCTCCAAGTCTTATTCAGACTCCTGGATGCCAAGGTTGCACAAAACTGGTGGTCAGTAAATGTTCAGAAAGTGAATGAAGACAAGTTTGATGCAGAGCATTGCTTAGCATTTACTCCCCCTGCTAAATCACAGGTTTTAGTATGGATCCTCACCCCTGGTCTAAGTACTATGGCAGATTCCAAAAGAGGTGGAAACATAGCCCTGGCCTTGAGTTAAGTAATATCTAAGTATGCATACAGAAAATAGAAATTAAGGCAACTCTGGACTCCAAATAAAATTTCCTTCAATTCAAACTATAGCATAATTTCATTTCTTTATTTACCAGAAAACAAGCACCACCAGGCCTGAGCTGAAAATGAAGAATGAAGAGGACACTCCTCCAGCTCCTTTCTTCAGCAACTAGAAAAAGAGAATGTTAGCATTTCTCTGATTTGCAAGCTTCTGAGCTAATTAATACAACACAGTATGCTTCTCCCAGAAAGGAATTTTAAATAGATTTTGCTTTTAAGATGTTCAGTTAAACAGAGCTTCACTGCAGTGCCCACATTCATTCATCCCTCCATCTACCCATCTACCCATCCACACATTCATTCAATGGATCAAAATGTGTGCAATACAAGCTATCTCTGAGAATACAGAGGTGAACACCAAAAAAAGGCCAAAGAACAAAATCAAACTACTACTCCAGATGTCTAGCTCTGTAAGAGAGACCTAAATGACACCACTTTGTAAAGCATAAGGAAGGTGGGCCTTTTCTGAGGGCATCAGGGATGCCTGCAATGTGTGGTCACCTGTGAATCAAGCCTGGAAGGAGAAGTAGAAATATACAGTGTCACATATCTAACTAGGAAAGTAAGTGAGGAAGGGAGTAAAGACATACATCAGGGAGGAGCATAGTAGGTACAAAGGCATGAGGTTGAGGCAGGAAGGAGTGATGCTGTTGGCACTGTTGGACCTAGAGATGTGTATCAAAGATAGGGCTAAATAAGGAGAAACAGTAGAATACCACAGGGGACTTGGTACAGCCAAGGAGCTTGGATTTTTTTCCCAAGCCATAGGTTAAGAACAGGCAGATTTTCATGAGAAGGAAACTTCAACACAAAGGAAGAACAAACAGCCAGGTCTGGTCGGGGCAGAAGTGCTACAGTGACCCAGGAAGAAATGGTAGGGCCGAGCTTTGTGGAAGCAGCTCAGCAGCATCAGATAAGGCAGAATGGATGTAAGGGATTTCCTGCCAATGTTGCAATGACAGGAACACTGTGAAGTCATCAACAAAGGCAAAATTATGTGCTTATCCTACTGTAGGCTGTAAGTTCTCAGATGGAAAACTGTGGCATAAATTTCACCATCATTTATTGTAGGCTTCCTCTGCAGAGCTCTGGCTCTGTATGACAGGGGCAGAAGTGATAAATGAGATATACTCCTATGTCAGTATGGCAAAGTCTCTTAAGGAGGTTCTTGAGATGCTACATTCTGGTGTTCATATTCCTGGGTGGTCCACTCCTATTGATTTGAGGTGAATGGTTTCTAACCAACAAAACATGGTAGAGGTTACAGGTTGTATGTGACCATAAAAAGTGTCCATCTTTCTGCAGTCCCCGACCCCTCTCTCCCTCTCCCTTTCTCTCTCTCTGTCTTTGCAGAAGCAAGCAGCCATCTTGGGAAACCCCATGTGGCAAGACCATGCTGATGGCCTTAAATACTGAGGGTATGAGGGCCATCTCCAGCCAAAAGCCAGCTAGAAGTTAAAGCTTTCACTCCTGTGACTGCAAGGAAATGAATTCTTCCAAAAGCTGAGCTCAGGAAAATATCTCTCCCCAGCCAAACCTCAGACGAACGAGTTGGGGCCGTGGCCAATACTTTGGTTATAGCATAGTAAAAATTCTTAGAAAGTAGATTCAGGTAAGTCCTGTCCCTCTACACAACTTTGTGTCTATTGTTTTCCTTTCATTCTTTTTTATTTTTTATCCCTATTCCCTCTTTTGCTTTCCCCCTTCCATTTTCCATATGAACATTTTCTTTCTACTTCTCAGTATCTATCATTCATTTTGGTCCTTATTTATTTGCCCTTTGGGTTTCTTACACAAGAGAAACAATGTGATATTTAAACATGTGTGCCTGATTTACTTCACTTAAAATTATGTTCTCAAGGTGAATCCATTACCTAAAAATTAGGTGAATCCATTTACCTAAAAAGCCTATCCTTCTTCATGGCAGTGTAGTATTCCATTGGACATACAAACCACATATGCTTTATCCATTCATCAGTTGATGGGCACCTGGGCTGTTGCCAAAATTAAGCTGTTACAAACTGTGCTGCTATAAACATGGTTGTGCATCTATCACTGTCAAATGATATTTTTAATTCTTTCAGGAAGATACCTACAAAGCAAAATAACTGGGTCAAATGAACCTTTCATTTTAGTTTTTTGAGAAATCTCTATACTGACTTCCATCTAGTTTGTATCAATTTATACTCCCACCAATGATGGAGAAGGATCCTATTTCCCCACAGCCTTGCCAGCATTTCTTATTGCTTGGTTTCTTGATAGCCATTCTTTCTAGAGTGTGATGGAATTTCAATGTTATTTTAATTTTCATAACTCAAATAACCAGTTATGTTGAACATTTTTACATATATTTATTTGTTGTTTATACTTCTTCATCTGAGAAGTATCTATTCATTGCAGATGCCTATATTTGGATTGGGTCTTTAAATTTGGTGGGAGGCTGATTCTTCTGAGTCCTTTATATATTCTAGATATTAGTCTTTTGTCTAAAAGATACTTAGTAAATTTTTTTCCCATTCAGTGGGTTGCCTCTTCACTCTGTTGGTAGTTTCTACTGCTGTGCAAAAGCTTTTGAATATGATGTGATCCCAGTTGTTGATACATTGTAATATTTCCTGTGTGAATGGGGTTTTGTTCATTGTCTTTGCCTACACCTGTATCTTCCAGAGTTTCACCTATTCTATCTTCCAGCAAAGTAAGTGTTTTTGTTTTAAAATTTAAATCTTTGATCTATTTTTATTTTAGTTTAGAACATGGTAAGTTATATGGGCCTAACCTTAATCTTTAGCATGTGAAAAGCCAGTTTTCCTAGCACCTTTTATTAAAAGGCTATCCAGTGAATGTTTGGTCTCTCTGTCAAAAATAAGGTAGCTGGTTGTGTTCGGAGTTGTTTTTGCATCTTCTGTTCTGTTCCATTGATACTCAGGCCTTTTTTTTTTCAATCCCATGCTGTTTTTATCATGAAAGCTTTGTAATATAATTTCAGGTTAGGGACTGAAATACCCTCTGCCTTGCCTTTGTTATCCAGAATTGCTTTTGCTATTCTAGGTCTGTTCTGGTTTCAAATGAATTTTAGCATTGCTATCTCTAGTTCTATGAGGTGTGTGATTGGTATTCTCATCAAGATGGAATTAAATCTGTATAATAGTTTTGGAAGTATAGCCATTTTCACTAAATTGGTTCTGCCAATCCAAAACAAGGGATTTTTTTTTTGAGTATTTGATATCCTCATCTATCTCCTTTGTCACTGTACTGTAGTTTTCAATGTAAAGGTCTTTTACTGCCTTCATTAGATGGATTCATAAGTATTTCATTTTTCTTGATGCTAATGTGAAATGTGTTATTTCCATAATTTCTTTCTCAGTGAGTTTGTTATTTGTGTAAAGGAATGCTATTGATTTTTCAGTACTGACTTCGTATCTTGCTATGACACTGAATTTGGTTATTAAATCTACAAGTCCTTTGGTGGACTTTTTGGGGTCTTCTGTGTAGTGTATCAAGTCATCTGCAAATAATTATAATTTAACTTCTTTCTTTCCTATTCTTATTATTTTTATTTCTTTCTCTTGTTTCATTGCTCTGGCTGTTTCCAGAACTACAATGAATAGGAGTGGTAATAGTAGACATCCTTGTCTTGTTCCTGAGTTTGAGTGAAGATTTTCAGTTTTTGACCATTTAGTATGATATTGGCTGTTGGTTTGGCATACATAGCTTTTCTCAGATTGAGATAAAGACCTTCTATTGCAATTTTTGTAGAGATTTTATCATGAATGGGTGTTGTATTTTGTCAAATGCTTTTTGTGTCTACTGATATGATCATGTGGTTCTTTTCCTTGGTTTTGTTAATGAGGTATATTACATTCATTGATTTGCATATGTCAAACCATCTTCAAATTCCTGGGATGAATCCTATTTAGTCATAGTGTATAATCTTCTTGATGACTTGCTGCATTCTGTTTGCCAGTATCTTATTGAGGATTCCTGAATCTATATTCATTAAAGAGACTGGCCTGCAGTTCTCTTTTTTGGTTGGAACTTTCTTTGGTTTTAGTATCAGGGTAATGCTTGCTTCCAGGAATGAGTCTGGTAGTATTGTTTCGCTTTCAATTTCCTTAAAGAGTCTGAGAAGTGAATAGTATTAGATCTTCTCTATGGTTCCTGTAGAATTCAGAAGTGATCTAGGCTTTTCTTTGTTGGTAATTTTTAAATTATTTCTTCAATTTCATAGAGTGGTATTGGGTTATTTAGAATATTTATAACCTCTTGATTCAGTTTTAGTAATTCATATGTATCTAGGGAATCTATCCATTTCTTCCGAGTTTTTTGTCTTTTAGAGTACAGGTTCTCAAAGTGGGTACTGATGATCTTCTGGATTTCTGCAGGATCCATTGTGATTTCACCATTTTTTATTCCTAATTGATTGGATTTAAGTCTTTTCTTTCCTTTTTTTGATAAGATTGGCTAAGGGTTTGCCAATTTTATTTAATATTTCAAAGAATCATCTCTTCTTTGATTCATATTGTTTTCTTAGTCTCAATTGCATTAATTTCTGTTTGCATCTTTATAATTTCCTCTCTTGTGTGCACTATGGTTTTAACTTGCTTTTTTTTTCTAGAAGCTTGAGGTTCTGGGCCAGGGATATAACTCAGTGGCATAGTGCCTACCTGGCAAGTGCAAGGTCCTGAGTTCAATCCATGGTATGAAAAAAAAAATGAAGAAGAAGCTTAAGGTTCAACATAAATTATTTGAGATCACTTTGTTTTTCTGATGTGGAAATTGACCACTGTATATATCCCTCACATGACTGCTTTAATTGCATCCTATAAGTTCCAGTATGTCATACTGGCATTATCATTTAATTGTAGAAACTGTGTAATTTCTTCTTTAATTCTGCTTGTGACCCATTGGTCAGGGGGGTGTTTTTAATTTCTATGTGTTTATGTAGTCTTTGTGGTTTCTTTTCTCACTGATTTCCAACTTCATTGCAATATGATCTGAAATTATGCATGGAAAAATTTCAGTTCCTTTGTATTTACCTAAGCATTTTCTATAACCTAATGTATGCTCCATTTTGGAGAAAGTCCTGTGTGGCTCAGAATAATATGCATTCTGTTGTTGTTACATGGAACACTCTGTAGATATCTACTAAGCCCATTTGTTCAGGGGTTTGGTTCAGCTATTTCTTCATTAATTTTTTTGTCTAGTTAATCTATTTGTGACAATGCGTACAGAGGTCCTCCATTACAACTGTATTAGTGCTTATCTGATTTTTCATATCCACTAATGTTTGTTTTATATAGTTGTGTGCACTGGTATTTCGTGTATGTATGTTTATGATTGTTATCTCTTCCTCTTAGATTATTCCCTTAACGAGTATGTAGTGAGTGGCCTTCTTTTTCTCTTCTGATTAGACTTGGCTTGAAATGTACTTTATCTGCAAATAGAATAGCCATTCCTGCTTTTTTCTGGATTCCTGTCATACAGAATGCCGAGTTCCATCCTTTAACTTTCAGTCTATGCATTTATTTTTGAGATAAATGTGTTTCTTGTATGCAGCATATTGTTGGATCTTGTTTCTTGGTCCATTCTGCCAATCTGTTTCTTTTCATTGGTGTGTTGAGACCATTTACATTCATGGTTATAACTGTTACATATTGACTTATACTTTTCCTATTATTTTCTTCTTGCTGGTTTCCTTTCTTGCCCTTCCATTTAATGGTTTGACTTGCCTGGTGGTTTCATTCTATTAGGATTCATGGAATTGTTGTTTTCATTGTCTTTTTGTAGAATATCCTTAAGAACTTTTTTCAGTGGTGGTTTAGGTGTGAATTTTTTCAGGTATTCTTTATCATGGAAATATCTTATTTCTCTATCAATTTTGAAAGATAATT